CAGATTGGTCTAGGAGGACAAGAACACTATCGTGTACATCGCTGTGCCCGCAAGTCAATTTGTAGGACACACCGCATTCAGAATGCAGCTACGATTTCGAATGGAGTTAGATTCGTGGCCAACTCCAAAAAGGGAATTATCAATGCTGAAGACATTATCCTTTCATCCTTTCACATTATCCGTCGCTTATATGCAACTGTGACACTTCAGCTTTACTACGACGGCACTCACTATGTGGGCGAAAAGCGGTTTGAAACTATGGAACTATTGGTAGCAGACGGATTGATCTCGATGTTCATGGATAAGCATGCGTCAGACTATATAAAAAGAATGGCCGACGAAGCAATCTATGAGCATAGGTGATTCTTATTAAAATCTAATAGTTGCGAGAAGCTTAGCAATCACTCGATCCTGTTCCAGTCCATACATGCAGTATACGAAAAGCAGTGAACGAAAGCCAGTCGCTCGGTCACATAGTTTCACCCAGTATACATTCAAAATGCCACATTATTGTGATTATTGTCGAAATTTTATGTGGGGATTAGTCCAGCAGGTAGATTTTTCAAGTTTTATGTAGTTTGAACGTTTCCTTGAAGAAGATTTGATTTAATTTTTCGTTATGTAGCGCATAAATATTGCGGCATGGCTAGGTTCTTGTCTAAATACGCACTCCGCGGTAACCGGATGGGCGGGGCTCATGATCGATGTGCTTTCACTTATTGGTGCGTCTCTTTTTTGACCACATTGGAAGGATGGGCGCACGAATGAGCAAGCCGCAATAGTAATGAGGCTCCATCCGCTTCACTTCCCATCGAGTTGTTGTGTAATGTATGTAGTTGCCTTTAGGTTCTACCATCCTTCACAGCATGGACTTTTTTTCATAGTGAAATACAGAACTATTGGATTTAGCGGTATTTTCAAGGGTGTTCGATGTGAAGATTGCGGTTTTGCTGCTCATAAGCGATGTTCTGAGCATACGTTACCGGATTGTCGACCTGAAGCTCGTTATGTGAAGCGAATGTTTGCTGTTGATCTCACGACTCTTTGCTTGGCGCATTCAACCCCTATTCCTCCAGTGGTCACTAAATGTATTTATGAGGTGTGTCTATACGTTTGTTGAGGCGTTGGTGCTACTGGTAAAAAACGTTCCTGACAGTACTTCACCTTATTGTTCAGGTTGAGGCGCGAGGTTTGAATGTAGAAGGCATATATCGAGTTTCTGGTTCACATGAGCATATGGAAAAGCTGAAACGACAGTTTGATTCACAGCAAAGTGTGGATTTGAATCAGGTTTGTTCGGCTTCCTTTTATCCATGGCTTTTTTATTGCTTTATTAATCTTTCTTTATTCTGTATTGTTTATTTGCTATCTTATTCATTTGATGTACGCATAGATGCGCTTATTTTTCAAACTATCGAAGCTAATAAGACAGATACTTGCAATTTTAACCAGCTAATAAGACAGATACTTGCAATTTTTAACCAGCTAATAAGACAGATACTTGCAATTTTTAACCATTCTAAAGTAAATCACTGTAACGGATAGGGTGTTTCCTTGTCAAATATAGGTGAAAGGTGTCCATTTTGTGACTACTACTAGGGAGCGTACAGCATCGTCGTATGAAGCACATCGGGGCGTCGTACTCTTTCCGCTGAGGGGGGTCGTATTTGATTTTTTAAAGAGGGGAGGTGTCTCGGTTGAAAAAAATTGCCGGTTGGCCGGGAATTTTCTTCGTTGTTGACTTTTCGTTATTTTTCCTGTTCTTCAGGTGTCTATTATGCCTCCTCCACCACATGGCCAAATCGTTGTTGGGCGACATCACCATAGGGGGGGGGCGTGTGGAGTTTGTCTGAAAACTATGGTCGTTTTTATATATTTGCACTGTTTGTCAGTATCCCAAAAAATCTATGCGTGGCTATTTAATTGCGCTAACGGATTATTGCAACTGTTTGTATGTACCTATGTCAACTCCCCTTCCAAAGAGCTAAATTGCCATCATTTGGAACGTTTTATTTGTAAAGCCTGTCCTCTGATTAAAAATATTACAGGTAGATGATATCCACACAGTATGCGGTCTACTAAAGGGATTGTAACCCTACGGTGTAACTACCGACAAACAGGCTCGTATGCCGCTTCAGTGTATAAAGCGCTTGTATGCTGTGGCCAATAAGCTGCCGAAGAGTGTACACGCGAAAAACTCGAATATGCCCGTAGGCTGCTGACAATAATTTGGATTTCTTCCATGAATTTTTGTTTCTTCTATGTATTTATTATTTCACTAAACTTTTGGGCCTCTTGTGCCGCTGTTGTAGCGATTTGTAGGTAGGGCAATCCAATCGCGGCATTGCACGCGAACGCTAGCATCCCTAGTTGGTTGACTCGAAAAGCTCTTTGGCATTAAATTAAATTAATCATGGCTGCTTACGTCAAAGTCCTATTGAGTAATATTTTCAAGCTTCTCTCTTGCTGTAACCTCGGCATCGTTGTTCACTTCGTTATTATACTATGCCTCTTGAGGTTTTTAGGTGGAATCTTTATTCAACGGCCTAACGTTTCGACAGGGTCGTCTTCTTCAGAGGCCAAAACTCCACCGTAAATCCGCCGTCACATGTAGATGTTAGTCAGTAACAAATCTTGTCTCAAATCAAACCTCAAATCAATTTGCTACTGACAAACATCCGCATATGACGACGGATTTACGGTGGAGTTCTGGCCTCTGAAGAAGACGACCCTGTCGAAACGTTAGGCCGTTGAATGAAAGATTCCCCTTAAAAACCTCGAGAAGGCATAGTAATATTAACGAACTGAACAGCTATTGAGTCACTTTACTAGGACTGCACGGTTTGTCGGATTTCCTGAACTGCACTTGTTAGCATTCAAACAGTTTTGTAATAGGACGGTGTGAAAAATAATCATTAATAATTTTTCGTTCAGAAAGGCACTAGAAGAACTTTCCGAGGCAAACGCTGTCACGCTAAATGCAATCCTGATCCATCTACGAAAGGTTAATCGCTCTTTGCTCTGATCCTTTTCATTATTTATAATACTTTTTTAGGTAGCAGATCACAGTGCTCAAAATAAAATGAGCGTTGAAAATATTTCAACGATTTTCTCGCCCACATTGTTTTGTACGGGTGTGGTTCCGTCACTGCCACAGCAACAACACATGTTGCTTCATTTTATGATCCGTACACCGCGGATAGTCCCATATGTTTGAAAATACGGTTCATCTTTCTTCTTTTATGGCTGATTTCATCTGATGACTGATTACCAGGGACGAATTCTGAAAGTTATGCTCACCAACAATGCTACATGCGAACTTTCACATGTTTGAGGGGATTATCACCTTTCTGAATTACCTCTTCGTTGTTCTTCAACTTATCTAATTCAAGATGACTTTTCATGATTCTCCGGGTTTTGTCTGTCTTCAGGGGGTAGAGGAAATGGGTTCATCCCTGTAAATATCAGTTCCCTTATCAAACATGTGCAGAGTCGCACAAGAAATGCTCATTCTGCTTTGTGGGATCCCACGTAATGCTCATTTTT